CCCCAAACCTCACCTGGGACCCCCCAAAATCCCCCCAGGACCCCCCAAAATCCCCCCCGGGCTCACCCTGAGGGTCTCGGCCTCGGCCTCCGCCTGCAGCAGCACCTGAGTCCTGTAGGGGGCGCCAAGTCAGGGGGCGGGGCTGCTCTTAAAGGGGCAATGCCACTCTTAAAGGGGCAACGCAGCTCTTAAAGGGGCAATGCTTCTTTTAAAGTGGTGTATTAGGAGTGACCTCGCAGGGCGTGGTTTATCTGAAGTGGGCGTGGCTTCTCTTTAATGGGTCAATGGGTCTTAAAAGGGCAATGGCAGCTCCCAAGTGGGGCAATGTGGCTCTTAAAAGGGTAATGGCTGGTGGGGCCCACCAAGGTGGGATGGTGGGCACAGGGAGGAGGTGTGGCTTCCCTTAAAAGGGTCACGGGCTTAGCCAGGGTGGTGGGGCCCACCAGAGTGTAGTGGGTGGGGCTTGCCTTTAAAGGGGCAATGGCTTCATGCAAACGGTGGGACCCACCAGGGTGGGGGTGTGGCTTCTGCTTAAAGGGACAGCACCTTTCTTAAAGGGGCCATGGTTCTACCCAGACCGGTGGGACCCACCAAAACTCCACCTCAGCTGATTGGGAGAAGGCGTGGATCCTTCTTAAAGGGGCAATGGCTTCACCTTTAAGGGTGAGGCCCACCAGGAATACAACTCACTTTAAGGGCTTCTCTTAAAGGGGCTGCCGCTCTATCAAGACTGGTGGGACCCACCAAGGTGGGGGTGTGGCTTATTCTTAAAGGGGCAACACTTCAGTTAAAGAGGCAAGGGCTCCTCCAAAACTGGTGGGTCCCCCCTAAAACAGGGCAATTGCGCCCTTAAAAGGGCGATGCCATCCCCCAGGCTGGTGGGACCACCCGAATCACCCCCACAGCTGATTGGGACACCTTCTTAAAGGGGCAATGCTTCTCTTAAAGGAGCAACAGCTTCACCTTTAAGGGTGGGACCCACCAGGGCTTCTCCTAAAAGGCGGAACACTTCTCTTAAAAGGGCAATGGCCTTACCAAAGTGGGGGGGCCCACCAAGGCGAGGGTGTGGCTTCGGCTTAAAAGAGCAACCCCACCCTTAAAAGGGCAATGGGTGTGACCCCACCCTTAAAAGGGAAATGGGTGTGACCCCACCCTTAAAAGGGCAATGGGTGTGACCCCACCCTTAAAAGGGCAATGGGTGGGACTCAACACTTAAAAGGGCAATGGGTGGGACCCCACCCTTAAAAGGGCAATGGGTGGGACCCCTCCCAGACTGCCGCTGGGCCTGACTGGGCGAGGGCGCGGCTCCTTCTTAAAGGGGCAACGGTGGGGGTGGCGCCCACCAGACGCGTGACTTAAAGGGGCGGGGCTTCTCTTAAAGGGGAAACGCTTCTCTTAAAGGGGCGAGGGGCCCAAAACCGTCAGGGCGAGGGGGGCGTGGCCGGCCTTAAAGGGGCGGCGCCTGACCTTTGCGCCTCGGCCAGCCGCTCCAGCCGGTAGCGCTCGGCCTCGGCCGGTTTGCGCACGGTGGCCTCGAGCTCCTGGCGGCGCCGGCCGACCTCCTGCTCCTGCAGCTGCGCCCGCTGCGCCCGCTCCACCAGCGCAACCTGGCCCCGCTGCGCCGCGATGGCCTGCTGGGAGCGCGCCGACTGCGGGGGGGACACGGGGGGGACACGGGGGACACAGGGGACAGGTGACACAGGTGACACAGGTGACACAGGGGACACAGGTGACACAGGTGACACAGGGGACACAGGTGACACACAGATGACACAGGGGACACGGGACAGGTGACACAGGGGACACAGGGGACAGGGGGACAGAGGAACAGGTGACACGGTGCCAGATGTTTCTCACCTGTCTGGGTGTTTCTCACCCACCCCAGATGTGTTTCTCACCTGTCCAGGTGTATTTTTCACCCCACCCCAGGTGTTCCTCACCTCCCCCAGGTGTTCCTCACCTGTCCAGGTGTTTCACACCCACCCCAGGTGTGTTCCTCACCTCCCCCAGATGTTTCTCACCTGTCCAGGTGTATTTTTCACCTCCCCCAGGTGTTTCTCACCTCCCCCAGGTGTTCCTCACCTGTCCAAGTGTATTTTTCACCTCCCCCAGGTGTTCCTCACCTGTCCAGGTGTTCCTCACCTGTCCAGGTGTTCCTCACCTGCAGCTGGAACGCCAGCTCGGCCGTGGCCCGGCGGGCGCTGACGGCGCCGTCGCACTCGGCCTGGGCCAGCTGGAAATCGCGCTGGGCTCGCGCCGTCGCCTCCTCGCTCAGCAGCTGCGCCGACACCTGCTCCTGCCGCGCCCGCGCCTCCTGCGGGGATACTGGGATGGACTGGGAGGGACTGGGATGGACTGGGAGGGACTGGGATGGACTGGGAGGGACTGGGATGGACTGGGATGGACTGGGAGGGACTGGGATGGACTGGGATGGACTGGGAGGGACTGGGAGGGACTGGGATGGACTGGGATGGACTGGGAGGGACTGGGAGGAACTGGGATGGACTGGGAGGGACTGGGAGGGACTGGGAGGGACTGGGATGGAACTGGGAGGAACTGGGATGAACTGGGATGGACTGGGAGGGACTGGGAGGGACTGGGATGGACTGGGATGGACTGGGATGGACTGGGATGGACTGGGATGGACTGGGATGGACTGGGGGAGATGGACAGAGGTGTCCCCAGGTGTCCCCAGGTGTCCCCAGGTGTCCCCAGGGTCACTCACGCGGATCCCGGCGTCGCGTTTGGCCTCAGCCTCTCCCACGCGGGCGTCGCGCTGCACCTGCGCCGTGCGGCCCTTGCCGAGGGAGCGCAGGTAATCCTGCAGGGGACACCTGGGTCACACCTGGGGCACATCTGTCACACCTGGGGACATCTGGGGACACCTGGGGACACCTGGGGACACCTGTGTCACACCCGTGTCCTCTGTCACCTGTGTCACCCCATTCCTCCAGATGTGTCCCAGGTGTGTCCTAGACCCCCCCCAGGTGTGTCCCCAGGTGTCCCAGGTGTGTCCCAGGTGTGTCCCTAGGTGTCCCCAGCTGTCCCCACATGTCCCAGCTGTCCCCAGGTGTCCCCAGGTGTGTCCCCAGGTGTTTCCCCAGATGCCCCAGGTGTCCCCAGCTGTCCCCAGCTGTGTCCCAGGTGTCCCCAGCTGTGTCCCAGGTGTCCCCAGGTGTCCCCAGCTGTCCCCAGGTGTCCCCAGGTGTCCCCAGGTGTCCCCAGCCGTGTCACCTGCTCGTCGTGCACGTCCTTGAGGGTGTAGCTGACCACGGATATTCCCATGTTCACCAGGTCGGAGGAGGCCACGCGGAAAACCTGCTCCGAGAACTTCTGACGGTCCTTGTAGATCTCCTGGGCGGGGACAACGGGGCGGGGCTTAGCAGGGCGGGGCTTAAATGGGTGGAGCTTAGCAGGGCGGGGCTTAAATGGGCGGAGCTTAAGTGGGGTGTGGCTGAGCTGGGCAGGGTTTAAGTTGGGCGTTTAAATTGAGCGGGGCAGGGGTCACGGGGCGGGGCTTAGCAGGGTGGGGCTGAAAAGGGGCGGGGTTTAGCAAGGACAAACCCAAAGGGGT